CATACCGCTAAACCAATAAGGTTCCGTTGTTTTGACACTGGTATGAAAACAAATAGTCATCCCTCTCGTTCTCGTTGTAAAAATAGAGATAAATTCTAATTCAGTTTAAAGGCAGTAGAATTTCAACAGTTTACACCTAAGGATAAGTTAAGATTTCTTTTAAGCTAGTCATTTTAAATTTATGTTCCTGAAATTTATAGAAGAAGCGTCACATTGTATAAAAACACACGACATTAGAAAACTTGAATCTTAATTATTTGACTAACCTCAAAACGTCAATAAAAGTGACTTGGGGAGTGGTAACTCATAATTTACGACATAGATTAGTTACTCTGTATTAATGTTATAATGTCATTAGAATGTATAAACGACCAATGTTAATTTAACAAATGAAAAACAATCAGATATCAATGCTTTCCATAATTCGAATGTTTTGAATTACACGAGGAAATTATCAAATGTTGATAATTTCAAGCGTAAATCTCTAAACACTTTTGCCTCAAACTAATAAAACAAAACCGCTAAATTTCAGCGGTTTGATTATTAGTTTGACTTAACGACTGGCAAATTGAGATACAACATGAAACTGTGTGTCTGGGTTTATGAAATTGCTTTACTTTAAAGTTGATATACTTGATGTTAACACTGTTTTAACCACATCGGCTATTTAAGTGCCCATCGAGAGGCACGAATCTTACCTACGTTGGGCGTTATGGGTGAATAAGCTTTAGTCTACTACGCTGGTTTAGCGCGGATTGGATGATTTCACACAGATCTTTGAATATCTTCCATCTACTCAAATATATCGCATTACGATTTTTCCTTCACAGGAATGACGTCGGATAAATGTACATAATTAAATGTAACAATAATAAATACTTAATAATTACAAATCAATTGCTTAACTACTGCGCCATCGACGTTCTCAATTTTTTTAACTACGTCAATATATTTTGCCTAAAAATTTAAGATACTTTGTAAGCGGTTTACCGCCATCCGCTGTTTGTGAAGTTTTAGCTTTGAAAATTACTTTAAAAGAAGTTGATGTTAAACGTACCTGACATTCGGTCACTTCATACTGTGGTGACACTTTATATGCCTCCTGACGTCCATCATTCATTCACTCATTATGTTTATGTCATTCCACACTCATCAATCATAACATAATGGAACTGTGCCATTGAGTACAAAAACATTCTTTTCATTTACTTGCAATTTTCTACACAGACTATAAATGTTTTAGGATACTCTCGTAAACCGCCAGAGTATTGCAGCTAAGTACATCTTACTTTTTGTATACGGCGTACTAAAACCTGTTGAATAATTCTGAAAGTAAGTACTACAAAGGGTGTTGTGTTTAAATCAAGTAAATTATTAAAAATTCAAACTTGGAACAATTAGGTGGGGCTGCCATTGATTAATTTACAAAATGTTTAATTTTTTAATATTTCATACATTTTTTATTTAGTTCATCCTGTGAAGTCTGCTAAGTATTCTGTAAATTAGACATAATAACATGCATTTTAATATAATTCCTCTTTACTGTAACATAAATGTACACTTTAGAATAACTATCTGCCGAAATGTGTTCCATTACTGGAAGACGGCGGCGGCATGCGCCACGCGGCGGCAAATTATGCGAAAGAACGAAACATTAAATAAATTATACTATTATTCTAAAAAAAAACAAAAGTTATGATATGTAAATCTTTTTAACGTAAAACTTAAGGAAGTCGTCATAATATTGGATAAATAATTGCTTTAAATATTTACTTTTAGACACTAATAAAAATGAGAAGTGATCGGACATTATAATTTTAAAACCTTTCAGTCTGATTTTAGATAATTAAAAATAGATTAGTCACATCTGTGGAAATAAGAAGTAAAGTTTATTGTGAGACATTTAGCTACTACATTAAATGCCTAAAAGTAAAATATCAGTTAATTAACTTACATAAAACTTGTGTTAGTTGCGTCGTTAACGTGCCTAAGGCAAAACTGTCTGAGATAATAAAACACCTGTCCTTAATTACGCTACTTAAAATAACGTAGTAAAACTTATTTATTATATTAATTTCTCTTTAACAAAGAGATTTAATTATTAAGAAAATACTAAATGGCCTAAGTTTTTTGTCCGTGAAAAAAAATTTACGTTCACATTTTTTAATTAAACTGAATTAAAAACTTAAATAATTATAATGTACGAAAGATTCTAAATTTTATTAAACTTTAAAGGCTTTTTAAACTTTTTTTTTATAACGCACGGTGGCAAACGAGCGAGCGGTCACCTGAAATCGCTGAAATAGCGAAGTAACCGTTGCCCATATTTATACGTTGCCAATTGCGTATGCGTTACCTACCTTTAATCGACGGAGCAGAGGATGCACAGAAAGAAAATATTTTCCCTTCCCAAGCATCCTCTCATCCGGAAAGTCCACTTCCATTTCCCATCCTTCCCTTACAAAAAGGGTGGGAAGGAAAAGAGGACTAAATTAGGCTTCCGGGACACACTCATCAGACTGTACGCGGAATAGCTTCCACTTGAGGCCTGTCTTCTGTGTGGTCGTGGTATTTCACCGGGCGAACCGGGCCAATTCGTGCGAAGATGTTAAACTAAACTTCCAGATTGTATTTTATTAATTAATCTAAATAGTGCAATAACTTCTCGTAAGGATTGTACTTTAGGATATTGTTTAATAATATGTAAAAACAATGTTTATGACAAGTATTTAAGTTAAACTTTTTTTAATATTTTTAATTTTACATTCATACTTTTAATCAGAACTGTATCTCCTGATAATTGGATATTTAATTAATCTGTCAAACACATGCATTCCTCTCTGTCAAATAAAAACGAACAATATGTTCTAAAGATTCAAAAGTCAGAATTAAACAAAATACTGCAAATTAATATTTAAAAAGTAATAAAACTTCTTTGTTTAATCTAATAAAGTTTCTAAAGTTATTATAATTATTACGAAATAAGCTATTTCATTCTTTGTGTTGACATTAATTTATTCATTTCAATAGCGCCTTAGTTGTTATAAGACAGATAGTCTTGTATTTTAATTAACAGCGGCTATGTAAGTAAAACCATGATTTATAACAAGCGATTTATTTTAGTTCTCAGAATAACCACGTGTAGTTTTGGTGTCTCTAAATTACTGTTTACAACCAACACTGTTACCTTTCGGGTGTTAATTGCTTGGCTTTTAAGTGATAGGATTTGTCAAGCGCACGTACTCTTCTGTCAAACAGAAACAAGCAATAAGCTCTGTTAGGAAGAAAATCCTACACTGTGCTGGTGTATTGGCGCAACACTAGCCTTACTAAAATGTCGACATTTATGCCCCCTTACTAATCATTCTGAGTTGACTCTGTAACGAAAGCGCGCCATTCGCGCCAAATGACGTAAATTATTAATGTCTAAAAGTTCTTAACTTGCTTGTGTATGTAATTTTTTAGTCTGTAGTCCTAATGTGATATATTTTATATACTCTTTGTGAGTGTCAACCTAACCAGTTTCGTGGCAAAATATATTTAAAACAACGACGTCTTGCCTAGTCCGTTTTTTTATAATCAAAGATAACAACCAATTTATTTTACTTATCAGAATACATACATTGAATGGATGCTAAATTAGCGCTAGCGGAATATCCATAAATTATGAATATTTTTTACTAATAATAAGTCGCTTCTTCGTTTAATTATTGGCTGGTAGGGAACTTGTTAAAATATTTTAAATAAGGAAAATAAAAATAAAAAACAAATCTTCACAAACACTTTATTCAGACATCAACACAAATCAGTGACTTTATATTTTTGAAACAAAAAATTCTTACATTAATTTTGTTTATATATGTCAAATGACTAACCATGGGTTTCTGACATCTCTGTACATAACATATCGTCATCCTTGTCATTATCTTTGACAAAACAGAGATAACAATATGTTTTCAACGAAGATTTTGATCTCGGAAACCCACAGTGACTCTTTTGTATAATAATTATTTTTCTAAATTAGCATATAAGGAAACTTCAACACTATCTTAGATATGTTCAATTACAATAATTATTTAAATATGAGATATAATGAAACGTATTAATCTATTAAGCACAAAACTTAAAAAAGCACGAGATGCTTTTATATGAGTTTATTAACTTTATGTAATAATTTCTTTACTAAAATAGTAATTTAAAGGTCATAGCTCATTTACTCACCCGGCAGCTATACGGCGATTATATTTTTTATTTCGCGCTGACGATATTCAAGCGTTTGCTAATAAACATAATAATAATATATATAATTTTGTGTCGTGTTTTTATCATTTATCGTGGGTTTCCATTGCACAAAAAAATGAATAGAATAAAATAAGCTTTTAATACTAAACATATCTTGTTATAGTTTCTTGTTCTATAATTTGTTTAAAATATATATAACTTTGTTAACACTAAAATTAATACTTTTTCTTATAAAATAAACTTCACTTTTATTTCTAATAAGATTCTGTGCGAAATGACTAGAATTTAGGAACAAATAATTTAGATAAACTCTGGCCGTTTTTTAACCCTTAATTCGATAGTTTCCAGTGTGACGAACGACTAATTAAAAAAAATCTACTGAACTAGTTTAGAGAAAATTAGGTAAGTATGCGCGTCGGTGGCTCAGGGGTCAAGCACTTGACTTGCAATCTGCAGGTCCTGGGTTCGAATCCCGCCATGTACCAACGTGTTTTTCGATTTCCGATTCACATATGTACATTTATCCGACGTTCTTACAGTGAAGGAAAACATCGTGATGCAACCTGCACATATCTGAGAAGAAATTCAAAGATATGTGTGAAGTCAACCAACCCGTACTTGGCCAGCGTGGTTGACTATGGCCTAATCATCCTTAACTTAGGGTAGGCTCCGAGCCCCTAGGTGGGGACGTATAGTGAGCTGATGATGATGACGTATGACTTTACTAAAAAAAAAAGATTTTTTTGCTAAAAAAAATTTCGTCGAATTAAGGGTTAATACTTACTTTTTAATATTTGAAATGGACTAGAAAAATAATAATTGAGATCCTTTATACTTATTTCATATGGAACAGATATTTATATAAATTATATTCAGACGGACTGTTCCGGTTTTGTGCATTGAAAAATTTCAATAAATGTCTTAACTATTAACTTAAACACTAATAAAATAACTTAAAACTTCTTGGTACAGAAACAATAAGGAGAAACTTCTATAGTAAAACTATCACAATGACAAAAAAAAGTCAAATTATGAGTACTGAAGGCGTTTAAAAAGTATTTGAAATCAAATAGCTTAATAGCTAAGTATTGCCAGCTGAAAAAAAATTAAACATATAAATATAATTAATCTACAAAGCAGAGAAAAATGGAAAAATAGTTTGAAAAATGTCAAGCGATTATATTATCCGCCAATCAGGTGCCAGTATTATCGACGGTGGCGCCGTCACTCACTTCTGATTGGTCGGTTTCGAGGCGGAAATGTGAAACTATGAATTAAAGGTGAATCATCCGATGCTCTGCAAGGGGTGTTTGAAGTGCAGAAGCTGTGTGAGGCCGGCATGCACCAGGTCCGGGGGGCTGGAGATCACGAAGTACACCAGCCCCAGGATCGAGAGGACCGCGCGCCAGATCGACAGGTGCGTCCATGTGTGGTAAAACGAAGGGACTGTCGGCTGAAAGTTAAAAAAATCGTTACCAACCTTAATTCATTTTAAATTGTCTATATTTTATTTAATGGTTGCATTATGTAGCTAAATTTTTATCCCATTTTTGATCCTTTTAATCTTACTAATATTATAAAAGTTAAAGTTTAGATATGGATGGATGGATGAATTTTTATTAGAAGGTATCATCAGAACAGCTTAACGGATCTCGAAGGCATTTGGGATGGATGTACAACAAAGTTTAGAAAAATACATAGCCTATTAATTAGTTTTTTTTCATTCGGCATGGACAACATGAACTAACCACAGTAACATTTCCTGTGCTGTTAAGGAAGACAGGGGCATACTGGTAGACCATCAGCTCGTCGTACATCCTGGCGGCCGTGCACACCAGCAGACATGCCGTGTACAGGATGACCAGCACTATGGGCTGGAACCACGGCTGCAGCCCGCGAGATACTTCGATACTGGCCACGTCCAGTCTGAAAAAAATAATAGGATTGATATTTTTATTTACTAGTCCGACCCAACAGGCATTGCAATACCAACGTCAAAATAATGTCAAGAATCTAAATCAGTGGTACCCAAACTTATTTTGTCTACTGCCCACTTTGAGAATAAACATTGTTTAGCGCCCCCATATTTTCACATATTTAGAAACCACTATAAGTTTAAATTAAATTAATTAATTGTTGTGACCTATATATTTATATTAACGGAGAATTCTAAACGAAACTTTTAGTATAACCCGCAACTTGAAACCTGCAGCGCCCACAAGGGGGCGTTATCGCCCACTTTGGGAAAGACTGATCTAAATGATCAAAACATTGGCTTATTTTTTATTAAAAAATTATAGCATTTGCTCATATAATAATTGCTTTAAAGGCTACATAACTTCAGATAAGGGCTTTTCAACTTGCTGTTTACAGTTTAAATTAGACTACAATTTGTTTTTTTTTCAGTTTCAAATGTTAATAAAGAGTTTTTAGTACAAAAGTTAATAAACACATAAACACATTAATATTGTTAATATAATCTTACCTATCTAAAACTGACAATAAACACAGCACACAGAAGAAATAGTAAGTGGCCACATATGGCATTGTCACTACAGCATGGAATGACAGGTGACCACCATCCAGACTGTCCGAGTAGCTGATGAGTAGGAGATGCATTAACGACAGCCCTCCTAATACTCCATGACAAGCAGGCGCACAACTTCGCCAAGCCTTTTGTACTGTTATTGCCATATCTAATGGTGATAAATTGCCTAATCTGAAAATTAAAATTTACAACTTGGGAATTAACGGCAAGTATTCACCATCTTTTCTTGTTTTGTGATAAGTTGTAACAATCTTGGAATGGAGTTTGAAGAGCTATGTATATAATAGGACATTAAATAATTTGCAGACTAATTCAGATTTAACCGCAGACTCAGAATTTGCCCATAATATTAAGTACTCATAGTAAGTTTAGTAATTACCTTAAATATTTATCATCATCTCGAGATTGCTGTTCTTGTAGTATTCTATCTCTGGACACTGCTCTGAATGTGCCGCCGCCTTGAAGATATATTTTATCAGTTCTCCGAGTGAAAGGATCAAGTCTTTCATCATTCGGTGATGTCAGAGGTGATGGGGATGAAAATGGATTGTCTATATACTGGTCATGGTATGGCACATTTGACTCCAATCTCTCCAACATTGTTGTTAAGTCTGTTGGTCTCACTGAAATCAAACAGATATTAATTTTTAGATGGTAAATAAACAATTTTAGACTATATTTTTTTTTCTTTTATCGATGGACTAGAGATTATGATGAAACTGAATAAGCAAGGAACCTCTATAGGCGAGTGTCATTGTCTAGTCCTGACAGACAACTTCATAGGTCCTCTGGGAAAAGATTACTTCATAAGAGAGAAAAATATTTAAGTAATTCGGACTCTCGCTTATCTTGGTTTGACTATATTTGTACTCTAAGTGTATATCTCATAATGAATTAAAAAAACATAGCATATATATTAGGTGTATACTTTCTGAAACAATAAGATCTGTTTGATAATAAACTTGTTAACCATAACTTACCTGGTTTTGTTCCATTTTTACTTTTAGTGCCAGTTTTAAAAACTTTAGGGCTAACTTCTTTGCTAACAGCACCACTCTCTGTGCGCTCCTCTCTTGTTTTCCGTCGGGTCTTCCTCGGCTTGTGTCTAATCTCTCTAGAAGTTCCATTATTGTTTTCTGTATCATTTGGTTCAATTTCCAACTCACCACTAAGAGTCACCACTTCATCTTTGTTATATTCTTTCAAGTAATCGTCAACCTGAAATATATAAATTAATAGGAAATTAAATGTTTATGATTTTGTTATAAAAATCTGCCACAATCTTCCATTACAATTTTCCAACATAAACTTAAAAATCATTATAAGTAATAAAAGTTTTAATGACATGGGATACAAACACTTTAGTATTTAAATGTCAGTTTGTTTTGATGTTATTATTAAAAATTTATGTTAATTATATAATTATTACCTTTTCTAATGCACTGAGACTTGACCCGGGCACATCAAAGTCGTGAAGCTCCCTGTCTCTGTGTCGAGATGAATGTCTTTTCTTTTTCCTATAGGATGGACTCCGCTTTTCCTTATGACCACTAGATGGTCTTGACAAATTCTTCATGAATTTCTCCTCTAAGCCATTTGGGTCATGTGAATAGAATACAAATGATGGATTCTTATCAGATTTCTTAATTTCTTTCTCCACAAAACCTAGGATACCTAGTTTTATTTGATCATGAATTGGTATTTCAACATCCAGAGACTCTTGTTCTGAATTTATCCAATTCTCCTTTGTTTTAGTCTTCTTTGTCGAGGTCTCTGGGCTTTCTTCAACTGTAGTTGGCGTATCAAGTGGTTCAGTGTTTGAAACATGGCCGTTGGAAAGTTTGCGTGAAGCCGATCTACTTCTACGTGTCTCAGTCCCTTTGCACTTAGGTGATGGCGACCTAGCAGCTGTATGCACCTCGGCAATTTCCTCCTTAACTTCTACACTCTTACCTGCCTTCATCATAATTTAAATGTGGACCTTAACACATTTGAATTCAAAACTATTTTTTTTTTCTTTTTCTGACTAAATAATATGTTGCAATAAATCTTCAAGAAATATAACGTATATTTTATACATCACTGTATGTTTTGTGCCCTTTTGTACGAAGTAATTAATTTAAAAAACATTTTTAACGCACTAATAACAAAGGCGCTAAAATGTCAAATGTCAACGGATGACGTCAATGTGACGTCATACCAAAATTACAACTGTTCCATTTCACGCAATTTCACAAGTCTGAAACTTACCTCATAATAATAATAAGTTGAGATTTAATTAACAGTCAACAAGTTTTTCCAGTTCCTTTGAACAAATCAAATCAAATTATTCTACAAAATCACTTAAAAGCCAGATATTTCAAAGAATTTAATGTCTCTTTGGTGAATAGTTATTTGGGGTGAAATTTTATTCCAGAATACAGGCTTGCTTCCTACGTTCTTTAAAAATAATGTTCTACGATCTAGGCGTCTAATGAAAACACATTCTATAAATATACCTTACATTTAAAATATATAATACAAGACCTTAACCATCTCCAATACCTATGTTTCATATATGAAAACCTTAAGATATTTATCATAGAATAACATTAACAACAATAAATTTTAGAACAAAGGTATTTAATGACAACAAACGGCGCAAGTAATAATTTCTAAGTTAGGTATGGGCGCCGCGCCGTTCGTACCAGCTGGCGACTGGACAGGACTCACAATTTTGGAATGTAGCCGACCTTTAGGCAACGCCTTGTTGTGTCCCAAGCAGTAAGCTTTTAGCGGAATAAGATCTTGACTTTTGTGATTTACCAGTGATATACTAAGTTAGTTGTTATCATTATAATAGTAAACGGCGCGAAAACTTTATACTCGATATATGATAAGGTTAAATTCACTTTGGGATGGTTAATTTGTTACAATTGGTTTATGATTTACAACATTTTTACTAACTTACTGGTATCTATAATACAAGGCTAATGGGCCTATTTTGTCACATTGATATAATCCTCATAATCTCATTTTAAATATCATTTTGAAGTGGATGACATCGAGTTTTTTTTGTAATAAGAAACTGTAAGCTTGCAACTTGGGCCACGCGTAAAATTTAGTATAAGCTTTAAGCAAAATGTAAAATTATTCATAATAACATTAGATATCGACACGAGTATAATAACAATATTGTTTCTTTTCATCTTTATCTTCTAAGTATGAATGTAATTATTATTTCAAATGATAAAAATAAATTGTTATAATTTGTTACCTCACAGAAAAAATTTTGATTACTATCAACCTTTGCAATATTACTATAATATAAATGCAAAAATTTTGATGGACGGATGGATGAATGTTTCTTAGAAGTTATCTCAGAATATATAGAACATATAATAAGAACAGATATAGAATATAGTCTGGAACGCATAAGGTACTAATTAAGTTTTTATTTTTTAATTCCGCGCGGACAGAGTCGCGTGCAAATGCTTCTTGAGGAAATAAATAAAATCTTAAACCGTATTTAAAAAAAACACCAACACACTACTGCGATTTTTTAATAAAAAGTTGTTCAATTTTGTCAGCCTTCTTGGTATTAGTATTTTTATTCTTTAGAGAACTTACATGCAACTTTTTGCCACCATTTAATTTAATTTCACGGTTCAGTTAACCACAAAACGACAATCAATAGGTCGCGGGGATTATTTAAAGCCTTAATTCTGGCCTTCCCTAAAAGTTTTTTCTGTGACACATCTTGTATTTTACTAGATATTATTAAAATGTAAAGATATATATGTATAGTCAACCAACACGCACTGGACCACCGTGGTTGACTGTGGCCTAGACTCCCCTAACTTAGGGTAGGCTCCGAGAACCTCAGTGGGGACGCATAGTGAGTTAATGATGAATAGACAATCTGATTGATCTATAGCACAGATTAAAAACTAAGTGACTGCTTAATAATTAAATGACTGAGTGTGGATATAAGACTTTTAAATATTCATCTCGTTTTCATGGCTTTACCATTTTGATTTGATTTTGAAAGCATCTTTAAAAGACCCTAAAAATGAATCACGGCTTACTCATCATCCTCAAGACCTTGACATCATTTTTATGTGATACAGCATTGAAATTTTAAATAATTTAAAGACAAAAATGAATAATCAGAAAAAAATTAGGTTATATTATTTATAGGATTGACATTAGTACAAAGACTGTTTAACGGTCAAGATATTATTTGTCTTCGCATAATGATGTAAACTTCTTATACGTCAATAGAAGTGGATTATCAAGTGTCATCTTACACAATTGGCAGCATTTCTCTCCCCTCCCGCTGGTCGAGGTCGTTCTCCCCTCCAGTGGTAGCGAAAGGCCGACACTTTCACTCAAAGAATTTCGGTAGTGGGTGTTTGCTGACGTCAATTTTACGCAATGTGATGCAATTTGCAATTATAACACTTTTATCCTTATCACTTAAAGGACGAAGTACGATTTTTAATTAATGTTAATTTATTACGAATAATTCAGTAAGATAACCTAAAAAAACTGAAAACTAGAGGGAAGAATTTTGAGCTGAAAATAGCTAAGATATTGAATGTCCCCTTATAATGTCAAATTTTTTAATAGAATTTTAGTGATAATTTAATCAACTGAGCTATGTAGTGCTAAGGACTTAAAACACAAACACACAAAAACAATCTAGAACAAAATTAAATATATTTCTTTTGTTCCAATAAGATGTAAGGAGAGGAGTAACCGCACTCATTTTTCCTTCTTTTAAAATATCAATCGAGCATACTTTGTTATCCGTCCTTAGAACTAAAAGCTTTTTTTGAAATACGAAATAATTATCTATCTAAAAAGGCTGTATTCATTTATAAACTACTCAGTATATCTGAAGATGAAATAAAAATGCAAAGGCTGTCGTCTTATTCTAAGACACAACTGGTTTTCACCGATTTAAGTTTGACATTCATCGTGATCCGAATAAAATTAACAAAAACCATATAATTTATTTTTAAGTCCTGGTATAAATTTCTTTTTTTAATTTAATTACTTTTGTGGTATTTTATCTGTGGTAGTGAAGATTTTTTATTAAACATTTAAGATTGGATTTTATTAGCATTATAGATATCTTCCGAAACATTTATAACTATAGTTCAGGATATAGAACCTCTACAATTTTTTGTGGAAAATAGTTTTGAATGAGTAAAGAATTTTCATTCTTAACCGACTTAAAAAAGGAGGTCCACAATTTGTCTGTATATATTTTTTAACACTTCGTAACTCCGCTCCTGATTGTCTGGTATTCATCATTCCTTTTTTTCCTAAAGGAGTTGCGTGTCATTTGGTTCTATTTTTCGAAGAATTAAAAAGTATCTAGTACGATCATATAAATTTCATAATTCAAGGTTATTGCCACAGTCACTTACCAAAAGTTCATGATGAATTTTATTGCAATTGAGGAAAAATTATCGATTTTTTCCTTTTTTTGGGAATTTTCTTATGTGGCAGTAATTACTTTGCCTTAGTGTCTTGTTGTATTTGAAAAGAAACAATGAAATATGCTTTAAATGGCCATTTAATATCATTATGGTGTTACATACATTGATATAGTCTACATTAGTTTGGTCCAATAATTATTTTTATTGCTACAAACGCTAACTGCGTCGAAACTTAAATTAACTTAATATAAATCCCAATAAACCCAACACCACATTTTTAAATATAAAATAATAATTTACAATAATTTTTACATAAACACATCGGTCTTTTAATACTCTTAGCAAAATTTTGTCCCTAATAAATTTGATTTTAATTTCAATGTCTATTTGGCACAAAATTTAACAGCCAATTTGAGAAATATTGACCGATAATACTTACATCAAAATTACACCTACATTGCAAGTGTCCCTTGTTTGTGAACAATATCACTCTTAATAGCTAATAATATCAATAAACAGAGAAATTAATCATAAATCACAGTTCATTCAGTTATCTTTCACACATCAGTACGTCAACGTTACGTTGACAATACATTCAAATATACGAAGATGATAAATCTACATTAAATAAATTAACAATTAAAATAAAATCTATAGTAAATACTAACAAACGAGTCATTTGAATTATTCAAAATAATATCGTTTTAAAGTACTTACAACTATACATAGCTAAATGTTCATAGAACGTACTAGAAATATATCATAGATATATGGGATAACCATTACCAGCTTTCGATAGACAACCGTTATTGTAATTAAACTTACAATCGATTAAAATCGACAGTTGTCACCTAGTCGCCGGTAAAAAGAACTTAAACTAACACAATCGAATTACCCCATCCAATAGAATTCTAGAGAAAATTACCTTTCTCGAATTGTATGGAGGGGCAACAATCACTCCGCACGGATGTCCCCAGGCGTACTCGCCCTTACTAGGCTCCGAGCGGGCGATCGACAAACTCTAAAGCTTAGCCACGTTTTGCGTTAACTTCGCAAATCGCAACCAGCCCTCGTACTGTCCGCATTACCGCGGCTCTCGCATTCGCTTATTTACAATAAATATTTACAATTAAACTTAAAACTAAAGTACACCTCAAATCGTTACAGGCAGTACGGATGACAGAATTGATAGACGAGCCTTTGACTCCTCTCAGTTTTTTTCATGATGCCTTTCTTGTAATACTGTCGTATGCTTCTCGACAGTTTATCGTAGTTCATCGCCGGCCTGTTCTTTCGCTTGCCCCACAGCCTCGCGACACGGACTGAATCTTCAATTTTAAAGACCCCGTTACCTGAACAACGAGACATACATTAAACATCGTTTAATAGAAGCGCGATGCAAATAAGACGATAACTTTTGGTAGAGCAGTAACGTGGTGTAGCTACATTGGTAGATTTGTTAGAAATTTGCATATGTTTTGAGATTTTATATTACTTTGTAAGTCTTAAATAAATGCGAAGTTTTTCGACAAAATACGAATTTAGAGTTACGGGATTTCTTGTATTGTAGCGTACGAACAGAATAAAGATTAAGTCCATCGTCGACTATTTCGACATCTTTGAAATACAAATCGAAAAGTACAAAAATAAATGACCTTCGCGAGCGTTAAGGATTCGTTACGGTCGTACGATTCTTAATACGATAGTCTGAACGGCGATATAGATTTTCTTAGAAATCTATTCGGAAATTTTAACGGAACGAATTTCAGTTCAAATTATCGGAGCATTTAAAAAATTAAAACGCGATCAACTTACGAAGGGAGCAAAAACGTTTATAGTTAAATGGTGATTTAACAAAATAACCTATAAATCGTAACGTCGTACCATTGGTATGGGCGAGTCACGAAGTTGAGTTAACCTTTGCAGCGCCACCACACCGCTTTGTACCTAACAGATGTCGAGTAAATGGCTTGCTCACCTTGGTACTAGAATGTCGTTATGAAATTCCCACTAACAATCGATTGTATACTACATATAATATATTAACCATAACTGAATGCACATATTCAATGAAAAATTAACTATGTACTTATAATTCATTGCATTCATAATTACGTTAATTTACGACTTGTTTTACAACTACATACATTATTATAAATCTTATTGGATATTTGTTGAAATATGTAACAAGTAGAAATATTTAATGAGATTTCTATTACATTAAACGCTTAATTGTTATCGCTACAATAGTGAAAATCAAGCAAAAAAAAATATAACAACGTTTTTTTTTGCAATTCTGGGCAATTATCAAACATAGCAAACATTTTATCATCATCAGCTCACTATTCTTCCCCACTGAGAGGCTCGGAGCCTACCCAAAGGTGACTAGGCCATAGTCAACCACGCTGGCTAAGTGCGGGTTGGTTGGTTGAGCAAACATTTATTACATCTAAAATATAAATTAAGATTCCTAACGAATTGGAAATAAACACGACAATTATCCCAATTAATAGAATATGTCACTTATTTGATGTTGATTTTTATAATTACTTCACGTCCGTGCCGTTTTGTTGCCAAGTTAGATAAAATGCTAAAACAAACTGTTGATGTGCTCATTTGGATGCGACGTGAAGTTGTCGTGGACTATTAAATAGATATAAATAATTCTACGGCTATTATTGGATATATTCTGTTTAAATTATGTCATACGATACGTTTAAAGAATTATCTAGAAATATACATAAGTTGTAGTTAGTACAAGTTTATAGGTAAAGCAGTTTAATTTAATAAATATTGTAAAGTTGATAAATAGTTGATTTATCTAATTTCAATGGATTCTTCATTTATTATTTTACTAAAAAAATCATATTCTTGTTATAAATTAATTACATTATTATTATTACAACTACATTCTTGTTATCAATTTAATTAAAAGGCTTTAGGATTAACCGTTTTCATAGTGTCAAGTAGAGGTCAAACGCACTCAGGTTTATTGTGTTTTTATTTCTTTCCTACAAATATTAATCTTAGACAAAATTTGACATAAAACATTTTTTAAATTTCTTCTCTTAAATGAATAAAGTCAAAATCTCAACTTACTTCGATCCAACCATCGTATCGCGGATCCGTGCACTTGTGGAGAAGCCAACAACTCCTTGAGGAACTGCCATAGGTGTATATGCGTGCTGCCCGACTTTGCCTTGCCCCCCGCGCTCACCCCCGACCCCGCACCCGCTGCGCTCGCGCTCACAGATTCCGAGTCCTCGTCTGTGATAAAAATAATCATAATGTTAGCATAACAATTAACACATTATCAACTGTATGTATACTTTTCTGTTTATCAATCAAAATGTACAATATGTTTTTATTATTTTACATGTTGTATGTATATGTAAACGACAGTTTGATTCGCAAATGTCAATTTCGTTATGTTTAAAAAATAACGAAATTGAGTTACAACAGTCCTAATTTAAATCCTTTATAAAAGGACTCCTCCTTGAAGGAAGAGCGACGTCTATCTCTAATCAAGATAAACTGGAAAACCAATGTTAAAAGCAAAGAAAGAAAGAAAGAAAAGTTTTTATTATAGGTAATACAGATTAAACCAAGAAACAATAACTAACATAATAAAATTGCACATAACTAAGAAATTAAATTAGACCTAAGTTACCATTTATGGTTAATTTGGATAATTTAGTGATGCCCACACTAGGCAATGCCTGTATCGTGGGTACCGATATTCAGATAGGTATATAATATTCAGTCCACAAAATTACAAAAGCGTCAATAGCCTAATAGTTAAGGGTATGGATTTCCGATCACGAGGTCTGAGGTTCGAATGCCGACATTCGACTATTGCCGTAAACCATATCCTAGCAGAAGCCTAGAGCTTAGTTGGAATGGTAAAAGAAATATTAGTAAATTTCCAAAAAAATATTTAAAAAAATAATCCTAAATTAAAAATAAACAAAATGTCTACAAGTTTTGGCTTTACATTAAAATATATATGAGAATTGTGAGTATATATCTATTTGTTTAAAATCTTTAGTGTAAACCCACTGAAAGACAGTAAAACATACAGTAAACGCAACTCTTCGCTTTATTACCCCGAGTTCTATTTAGAGAAGCTTTAATGTGGCAACGAACGTTTCGTTTCGTACAGTTATTTTACCACCACAAAGGTTAAATGAAAAATAAATAAAATAATATAAAATTAGCAGATTTATTTCTATTTATTTTTATACCTCCATAATATAGTAATGACATATATCTAAGTTACTTTTAAAAATACTAAATAATATTAAAGTTATTTTAAAATTGTAAAAATATAAGGAGCGCCTTAAAAGTAAGCGTTTAATTTTACTAATGATTTCATTTATTTCGCTCTATTAATAACTTAATAACTGTACTTAATTTGCATCATATTTTATAAATTTATACGCTAATATTGTCAATAAAATAATAAAAAGAAAAGTAAAACTAACATAAGTTGATGATAAATTCTAGTACATTCAACAATGCGTATGGATGTACGGATAACTTTTTTCAAAGAGCAAGGTATCGATATATGTTGATCAACACATAGTGACCTTGCCTGATACCAGTCCACATTTTCTATGTCACCGGGAAATAGCGCAAAAACTGGACTTCACTTACATTAGGTTCAAGCTAAGATGGTGAATGGGCCGATAGTACTTCTATGGATATGGCTTGATGGATTGAATAACGGGGCGTGGCATTTACTATGAACAGTGAACATTAGACCATAAATTTCGCAATCATTCTACAATTGTAATATATGTTAATATTATACTAGCCTTTGCTCGCGACTTCGTCTCTAAAACTCTATTTGATTACAAAACGGTCAGACTATCTTTTGTTTTCCACCAAACAAATGCCTCAATAATGCTCATAAAATGAATTACCACTGTCAATCTAATATTTAATCTCATTAAGATAATACGAAGATAAATCTCGCGTTATTTTTAACAATCTACATTTGTTATTTTCACGATCAGCACATGAAACTTTCCATCGCGATAATTTATTATATACGCTAGCTGCATTTTATCAAGAATCTTTCTTGTTTAGTTCTATCTCGTTATCCTCCGACTGAACGTCAGTATAAATCTCTCCGTGTACGCAACTGCCGCGGAATGCCGACAGCTCCGATAATTGCCGATAGCTGTTTCCTGTGCTACTATCCAACACTCTTTTTATAAACCTCGCAATCTCGATTCGACATGACTGGGATGCATTCTATTTACAAATAATCCTTTATCGTAGAACTTCGTACAAAAAAAGAACGAAAATTACAATCATGTTAATAATATCCTAGTTCATTCTGACCTTCTTTGAAAGGTAATTGAATATTCATCTATTTTTCTTGCATTTCTAATTTCTTCTAAAGTCTTAAGGATAATATCTTACTAACATTATAAATACGAATGTTTGGATGTATAGATGAATGGACGTTTGTTAAGAGATATGTTCAGAGTGGCTGCATGGATCTCGCTGAAATTTGTCATTGATGTAGAATACTGGAATAACATAGGTTACTAATTAAGTTTAATACCGCGGAGACGAAATCGCGGGCGTCAACTAGTAAAACATTAAACGATCTAATGTATAAATTTTGCGTCTTTATTTTCAATTCCCTCGTAAAGTACAAAGATAACTGGTACCTACCGTCGGACATTCATCATTAGGTTGTTTGTCTCTAACGTGGTCGTATGTGGGTCCGCGGCTAACGGTGGATCACAAAATGCATGAGGCTGGTGCATCTATGTGCTACATCGCTCAACGCAGACCGTTGGACGACTACTTTTTACTATCTTAGTAATAAGGCACATAATTTATATTGGATGTGATAGAATCTATAACTTAGAAATAAAAAGAAGTATTTTAGATATTGATTGAATTGATTGTTAATTATTCTTTTTTAAAATATCACATTAATTATATACTTTTTAATTTTATAATTAACAGTAAGATAATGATCTTTTAAAAGTATTTTTAAAGTTACAAAGATATAGAGCTGAATTTATTACTGTTCTTTAAGTCCAATTAGGAGTTAATGATCTTCTTAATTCCCAATACATAGCACAACTCAATACACGTTCGATTCGATCGATCTAATAAATTACATTGATTTAACAGTGTCTCAGAGTTGTATAATAAAATTTTCAACTTATAAAAATGCCGATCGACCAATAATTAATGAAATCGATACCATTTAAAAACAAAATAAAACTTTATGAATCACTAAAAAATACTGGCATGTTAGAAAATTGTCTCATATTTTATTTACTACTAGCTGTCGCCCGCGACTCCGTCTGCGCGGGATTAAAAAATAGATAGTAGCCGATTCTCAAACCTACTTAATATGCTCACAAAATTTCATGAGAATCGGTCAAGCCGTTTCTGAGGTGTATGGGAACGAAAATTGTGACACGAGAATTTTATATATAAGATTATGAATAACTATGACGCGTTACTATTTACGCAGTTAACTAAATAATATTTGTATAAAACTAGACACTAAATCTAATCATATAGAAATTTTACGATACATTATCTCTTGTAAATATAACGTTTGATATAAATGATAAAATACTTTGTTGTCCTTAATCCTAATACACTAATTTATATAGTGTTTTATCATAAAATCATCCAATTAGTTATCTACAATGAAGCACATAATAGACAAATTCTTGTATATATTATGATAATAAAAAATATGTAACCTTTATGGTAGATATTGAATTATTAAATATTTAAAAAACCAGAACATTTTTTCTATTATTTTATAGAAACAAATACAGATTAACTGTTAATTTAGGTTTAAAATATAAAAAAAAATTACGTATTGGGAAAAGATTGCAAAGGAGTAGACAAAATCGTTCTAGAATCGTAATTTGTTTTGGCACATTGAGAACAAGCGAACTCTTTGGCCTGTCGTGCCAACTCAATCGCTTGATATTAAAAATCATTTCTTACCATCACTCATGTCGTCAGCTGACGGCAGACCGGGTGGGGCAGGCTTCGGCGATGTCTGCTCTTGTTCAGACCAGGGCGCGGGTCTCCAAGTCTCGTGTCTCGCCGCTTTCCATATTTCCAGTTGTGCGTACAGTGTGCTCCCAGCCTAATATAAAAATATAGTACTTAATTGCGATACCTCTATCATTTTTTGAGAAGATAAAATTGTTAGAAGATAATTATAGAATGTTTTCAGCTCAATGTTTAGTGCAAAGATGTATTATATTTATTTTACTTTTGTATGTAATCAAGGATTCTAATAACGATTTCGAAACCACTCGATGTTGATAAAAGCTACAAATCCTAATGAGATATTTTATCTGGTTTGTAATGTATTGTTTGAAAATGTATAGATAGTTCGATTTGTATGCAAACAAGTGCGAGCTTGCGGCCGTGGACTTTCATCGGCGGGTGAAAGTCGAGGCGATGGCGCGTGATGACAATGGACATGCGCATTCGATTGAATCACAATAACAATAATCTCAGAAAAAAGAAACATCCCATAACTAAACTAGGGACTAATTTAATTGAATTGCAATTAAATTAAACAGTCCTTCCATTTATTAAACATGAGTAGATAATACTATAAAAAAAATTAAATGTTCTTTTTACGAAATTCTTTTGTAATGTATCCGTGTAAAGCTATGTAGTGTACAGCCCTGTAATAAGTTATCCAATGTATTTCATAACACCCTGTTTTCCTTAACGGATTTCCTTGAGTATCAACTTCGTTACGCTACCCGTACTTAAACTACGTAACTTAACGATCTAGTCCTAAGCTTTTATGTGATGAAATGTTTCCTGATATTTTTCTTAATTTAGTGGTTTAGTAAGTCCTGAAAAACATAAATAAGCAATAACTTAAATTGAAAACAATTAAGTGTGATTAAGTAACTAATAACTTAGTAAATATTTCATTGTTTGTTTTTCATGCTAACATAACTTTTACTTCTTCATTGTTTACTTATTCTCTTGTTATTCAACGTTCATTGTTATTTACGATACTTTTTTGTTTTTATGTTTTGTGTTGCAACATGTCGCGGGAATTGTGTAACAGTGAATTTCCACTGCCAAAAACATATATATTAGTCATATTGTATTGTATTGCTACTACATCTATCACAATATGTTTTACACGAGTGTTTGTCAGTGGAAACTCACATGCGAAACACTTTATGATAACTGCTCAAACTTAATTTATTTACTAAAATTAAATTGTTAATATTCATTTACTATATCGTAAAAACGTATGCTTGTGTCTCCTTTATTTACTTTTGTATTCTGGGTCACGTGTTTTGTTTTAGTATTTTTCATACATATCGCAATGTCATTGACCTTTGCTGCCTATTGATATGAAATATAATAATTATTCGTTACATTGTAACTGATTTCTCTTTTCATTTTGACTGTACTACATACAATATTTGCGTCGAGTTATCAGTAGCGCGGGTGACAAGCTGCACTTTGATATTGTGTGCCCTCAATAGGCCCCGGGGTCATTCGATTAGAACAATACATTCCTCGTCTCTGATGACGCTCATTTAATTGTTTTTAACCAAAGTATTTTAAGTAAGTATATTAAACCAGATGAAATTAAAATACATGTGCAAATTGGATGACGATGTTTTCTTTCACCACAAGAACGTCGGATAAATGTACATATGTAAATCTAAAATCATTGGTACTGGGTGGGATTCAAACACAGAACCTGCAGATAAGAAGTCGGGGGCTTAACCCCTGAGCCTACGATGCTCATGATTATGTGTACTCTGTAACAACGGTTTATGTGTGCTTTATAAAGGTAATTTATTTTATATATGTACATACTTGTGGCGCTCTGCGATTGAACTCTTCCTCCGTAAGTGCAACGAGGGCGACTCCGTCCATCGCGAAGTATTCCGCAGGCACGGGAGCTAGGCGGAAGTGTTGTAATGTGAACATCACCCACGACTGCACGTCCTCTGCGCTCCATTGCAGCGGGTCTACAAGAGATATACAGGGTGTAAGTTTATGTGTAGTCATCTTTCAATTAATTACAATTAAAAAACGTGTGCGATATTTGATTTTAAATTTGAAATATACAGTTATTATAAATTTAAAAAAAAAATATGACAAAAGAAATTCACTAATATAACATGACTAAGTATGAAAACAACATATAGACGAACCACGCTACACCATTTATCTACAAATTGTATCGGTCTGCTGTGGAAATATTATAAAGATCACAATAAGCTTATAATAATAAATGAGCAATAATGATGTCAGAGCAGAGAAAATTATATGTTTCTGTACATTGTACAGTCGTGTACAAAAATACAACGTAAAAATATAAATAGATGAGGTGTGAAATATTAATAAGTAATCAACGTCGATCATCTATAAATTTAGATTTGACTTACGCAACCACTCATATTCTGAGAAATACATATAAAATAGTTATGTAAGTACATAAGGAATTGCTGTGTTTAGTACTTGGAAATACTTGATTGTTTAATATATTTGCAAATAGAGTTACGTTAGTAATTGCCTTCTCGATACGACGATAATATGAAGTGAAGAAGAACGGTAGATAATGTGAATTCATTCAGTTTACATTCAAATAGTAACATTTAATGACCGTGAGATTATGTTACATAATAGCATATCATGTTATCAACATATTCATAATATTTTCATATGACACCGATATCTTTTTATAGTTAAAACGGTCGCTCAAACATTCCACCTAACTACCTTTTAAACGGGAATTTTGGTCTCAGAAACCCACGGCAAGTGGTATGACATCTATTGACATGTAGACTTTTGGTTAAAGATGATAGATTATTAGAGTTATAATATTTTTTCCTGCTACGTGAATGACGTGAGCAGTAATTGCCCCATTGATAGTATAGAGGTTATACTATTGAATCGCAATAGTTACTTTACGTCACATAGTTTATTCACGATATGACAGCTAACATATTTCCAACGTGAGTATATAGTATTTTTACAACGTAAAATGATGACTAAAAGTAAGAGAATATGCATGATGTGACTCACCGGGTGAGATGCCGAGCACGGTACACGTGTTATCAACGTCACGCTTGGATTGCTCGATGGCCATGGATAGCACGCGGTCTATGTCAGGCGCCACCAGCGTGTCATCCCCCGTCCCACCCGCACCACCGCTACTCTCCTCCATCTTCACACTGTTCAGCTCGAACGGTATAGGTCTGAGGTTCAGTCGCTTCTGGAATGTCGTATCTTCTAGAGCCGATCGCAGGAGAATGTGATCTCTGGGCTCTTCGAGTTCTAGTTTAGGCGTAATATACGTCGTCTGTTGGACACTTTCTTGCAATATCTGATTCTCTTTTAGTAATTCCTCGATATCTATGTATTCCTCGTGATGTGAGGCCGGCGATGAGTACTGATGATAACTGCTGTATGAGACGCAAGATCCCGAAGGAGAAAGGGGGTAAGGGGAAGCGAATTCAGGGACGGGAAGTCTGTTCGGCTCCTCCTTGACGTAAACTGGAGGAGAGTATTGGAAGGAATTATAGGGGGAGGGCGGTTGCAGCGCCACTGTGGGAATCGATCCTTCGTCGGACGAAGGCGACGGAGTGGGATAACCTTCAAAGTCGTAAAGCCTCTCCAGGAAGCCGCTGTTATCCTCAGGATACGGAGGCGGGGGCTTCGTGTGAGGGTTGGGAGGGGAGTGCAACATGGGCTCCGGCGGCGAGGCGGCGCCCAGCACGCGCAGGAGGTGATGTAGGTCTGCCGGCGAAGCGGGCACTGTCCTCTCGCCCGGTGAGGCCGAGGGCGGGCTGCACCCGGACCGAGGGACCGTCTGTGGCATCTGCGAACAATCAATAAAACCCATAAGTCGATGATCGACAATCAATGACGCATAATCCCGCGATCGATTCACTTGAAGCTACCGACGTCACAATTATACAATAGACAGATTTTAGGAGGATTATAGATACAAGACATGAATTCTACGCGAACTGACGTCACACCGAACCGTTTGACGTGTAGCCAGATGTCTCAAACATAACATTCTCTTCAGTTTCATGGCTTGTTTATTTATCTAAACGCCATAGATGTCTAATTTTAGTCGTGACTAATGACTTCGACTATAATTCTAATTTTATGCCGCTTAATACTTCTGGCACATGTAGAAGTATGTAAATTAAAATATTAAATCTTTTAATAATTTATTTCTAATAATACACACGTACTCTAAACAACGCGAGTCCCATTGCAGCACATCTGTTACACTGAATGATAAACAATGCATTTTCTATGACGAAAATCTAACAAGATCAAGTTGGACCGGTCCATTGATATAATCAAGTGTGAACAAAAGTGTTCTTGTGTGCTGAAACATTTTTTGCATTTAAAACAATGTGTTCAGTTCCCACGTAACATCTCTATGTAATTACTTGCAATCATATTATTACAAGAAAATTCCTGAGAACTATCGCATTGGGAATGTCGCATCAAATAGCAGTGAAGAATAAGCGTAAGATATTCAAGAAGTCATTACATTTGAGCAAATTGACTGCAAAGGATTGAACCTGTACGCACGAATTAAAACACAAGGTCACGACTGTCAAATAACATTTTATTTACATTCAATCGTATCCTATTATAGTCAGAATTTTATTATTTTATACGGACAGTATCCTGTCTGCGCTTCAATCTAGTTAGGTAATAACATTTAAGGAGCCGTTGCTATTTGACAGGCCGAGATATAGAAGCTGCGTGCGTTTGAATAAATGAATAAATCTGCTCAGATATGCTCAGTTATTCGAAGTATGCGGAAATGTGTATAAAATATTTCGTGTTGTTCCAATACTATACGAATTGTTTGCACCTGTCAATTTACAGCATTAAGATATGATGTCATTATGTTGTAATTGTAATTCAGAGGTGTCAATTTTTGACAACACCCAATGTACTTAATTATTATTATTAGAATTGCTGAATTATCAGATTCAACAAGAATAGGTTCTTTTATTTGTTATATCGTCTTATTCGGAAATTTATATCAGTGAGTATTAGTTTCCAACAATACTTGTAAGGTCGTGGACAACATTTTGTATCATGTTGCTTCGTCTATTGATACAATATACATATACTAGGTCTCACCCGCGTCTCCGTCTGCTTGGAATTAAACAAAACTTAATTAGTAGCCTACATGTTTTTTGAAACTATGTTCTACATGTATGCCGAATTTCATAGATATCCCTTCAGTCTTTCTAGAGATACCTTCGAACAAACATCTTTCTATCCATCCATACAAACATTCGCATTTATAATATTAGTAAGAAGTAAGATATTATTATGACTTATTTAACACTTTAGTGAATGCTCATTACTGAAAAATAAGGTGTCTTACACACTATAAGGATCATAACAAAATATCAACTCAAGAAACGATTTAGCCTTACACGACCATGCAAAATAAAAATCCGTAATCAAACGCTAATATCACGCTCACGGGCATATAAAATATCTAAGAAGCGTGAGTCATATCTTTTATTTATAGATAACAATAGGGATTTCATTTAATTGACGTCAATATTTTATTTCCAAATAAGCCATAATAAATCGAAGCATGCACCGCGTGACCGGTCCATGTCGCTGTTACAATTTAAACAAGACCTTGGGTTTTTTAACGTGTACAGACTGCCTTAGCGCCCGCTCGCACGAAACAAGAGATCAATGTATTGCGTCTTTGCTGGAACTTTTTCAGGCAAAGCGTCTTTACGGTACCCTCAAATGACCATTAATAGCGTGTTTTTTGTCAACTCGAAACGATTGAACATAAAATTGAATCGCGGACATAAAAAATATTGAATTTTTTTTAAGTTGTTTAGTGAGATGCTTCTAGATGGAACTAGGAATAAGTACTATTATTACTACTTCCGAATATTTGTCTTAAAAATGTAAGTAATCATTTTGTTTGTTTTAACAAACTTTATGTTATAATACGTAGAGTCAGTGACATGACAGACAGACGGACAGGGTTGTAGGCGAACTTTTTACATAATTCAACAATAACCACACGAGTCTCGTTATAAGCTAGATGTCACAAGCAGATTAACTTAAATTGCCCATTAGTCTGAGTACACCGTACCTCAAAGTAATTTATGTCTTCCATTCTACAATGCAAGCTGAAATAAACTCTACTGCAATATTAATAAAGTCCTTAATTGTTTACAGATATGTAGGGTGTTTTAATATACTTATTTGTAAAGTGTATCCTTCTTACTCTCTTTATGGCACTTAGTACAACATCAGTGAGCTATAAAAACGTTTTCAGTGTTTTATATAATACATATATAAATAAGACTATGTAATACATGTTTGATAGAAACAATCTCCGAAACTTCGTTCAAACGTATGTTAGTCCCTTCAACATTGGTTAGATAACCTCAACTTAAAACTCACATGCGGCGTCCGAACTGTATCCATTTCGAATGTCACAATACAAATATAAATCCGCACTCACACGCTCGCCAACGTCAGCTGGGCCGGGGTTGATGCACCTTTGACATCGCGTCCATGTTCTATTGAGGTTATGTTTGCGCCGGCGCGGGAAAATATTGAAATTTTTCGTCTGTTTTATTACGCGAGGGTTACGTTTTTTGGTCCATGTTAGCGCGTGTGCGCCGTGAGTAGATCACAATGCCACTGAGCTCGCCGGCCGCGGCCCGAGACTTTGACTCAATGAACGCCTGCGTCACTTCGGGAAGTACGCGCTACGAGACTAAAATCAAATCTTAATAGAGCCTGCATCTACACTCTGCTACGGCATACGTCACACCGATCGATTATATTCACTTGACGTCTGAGTAAATAGAAATTAATTAATTTCCATAATGGCAACATACCTTTATTATGAACATGGAGCTTATTTTTAAACATTGCCCTTGATATTTATTCATTTGTTACCTTGATATTCATTTATTAATTGTTTCGGTTGCCGCTTATCTATGATAATAATATATTCTTTACATTAATTTCTTATAATTTAGTATTTTAAAGCAAACATTAGAAGTAGTATTTATTATCAGCATTTCCTAATATCCATGCGCCATTAATCAATACATCAATAAAGCATATGATTTTCAAAAATGTAAGAAAGTAAGGAAACACTAGTGCTTATTTTTTCTTGTGTTATTTACGTAAGGAAATTACTCTCCCTGAAATCAATAACAATTTGTCGATTTAACAGTGACGTTGTTGAAACAAGTTTAACTTCCTCACTTCATTCATGGTCTAATTATGAACTTACGTATAAGAGTAACACAATGACTCTACATGTATACACGTAACACACACAAGCCAACGAATACATTAGCGAAGTTGGCACGTGGGAAAAAACTTTGGTTCGTGATATAATTGTTTATACATACAGTCGGCAACAAGATATGACAAATGATTGTTTAAATCTACATAGCAAATTCAACTTAAACACAAATATATAGAGACGAAAGTTACTTTAATATTCATAGCGATTCTCATTCAACTTCGATGACCACTGTGCACTTAAACATCTGTTCTTAGAAATATCTAAGTGCGTAACATTCAATAACTAAACATGTTTTATTAACAGATTATGTTACGTCTATTGAAGAATCAATTTCTTTACACAGTTATTGCTTACTTGAATACTTAAGAATAGATATTCAATTTAAACTTCTCTGTCAAAGATAAGAGACTAATTTACTTTCCTAGTAGTTATAAAGTAGTATACATTTTAAGTGATCTTTCTTGAAATTCAGGAAGTAAGGAAATAAATGGGACTATAAAAAGTATTCGACAACTTTCAAGGAAACAAATGAATGAGAAAACCGAATGATTCGCATATTTAACAAAGTTTAAATTACGCTATGACTCAATTTAGAAATCCCTAGTGTCAGTTACCGTAACGAATGCAAAACGAAATTGTCAAACCATAACAAATGCACTGCAATCGTCACAAACGCCCAATCACTGTAGGCGACGCGATTGTCCCATACTTTAGACATCGACGAGTTAAATCAGCTTATTTTGAATCCGTAATGATTAGATACCTTCCTTCCAACTTATAACTTTACGTATTTAAAATAATATAAATTATAATTCATATTTTATCATGAAAGTAATTAAGTATTATTTTTATAATTTTTAAGTATAAATCTGACAGATTATACCAAGTTAATACCAGCCATCCTAAATATTTGTATAGGATTAAGAGAAACTTATGCGTAAGTATTAAAAAGAGCTTGGCGCTTTATAAGTCGCCTACAAATAGCTAATGATATAAAATGGTATTGAAAGTAAAATATTGAAAAGAAAATAAAATAAAACTAATTTAACTTTAACTATATTCAATTGCTTAACACGAATTAAATATGTTATCGACAAATCGAACTTATGTATATTAAAAATGTTTTAACTTTAATATTACTTCTTAAAACTAATAAATCGTTCTATTGTATACAAATAGGCATTACAATGGAAATTCATATACATTTTCATTCCATAACATTAATGCGCGTAAAGAATAATAAGTAGGTATTGCGTTTGTCTGACTGCACTTATGTAAGCGGGAATGCCAACTGACTAACATTGTACATACTAGATCCAAGATATCCATTCATAACGCCCTCGCACTACTGTCATAGTACACAAAAAATAATTAGACCTTGGGGTTTTTAATAACACGCTATTTCTAGCACTCTGTTTATTTTTCAACGGCCAGTACGTAATAAATAGAGACTCGAGTTACTTTTAAGACTATGAAGGTTTGTTTATGAAAATAAACGAACAGAATGACAGCAGAAATAGTTTTAATTAAAA